GGCTGGCAGGGGAGGGCAGTTGGGGGTGACTGGGCCAGCAAAGAAGGGCAATTGGGGGTGATCGGGCTGGCAGGGGAGCAGTTAGGCATTGATCAGGCCAGCAGGGGAGTGATTAGGGGGCGATCAGGCTGGCAGGCAGAAGCGGTTAAGGGCAATCAGGCATATGTCCAACTGTGTGATTGGACCTAAACCAGCAGTTGGAAATCCCCCAAGGGGTCCCAGATTGGAGAGGGTGCAGGCTGGGCTGAGGGACACCCCCCCCCCAGTGCACGATTTTCATGCACTGGGCCTCTAGTCCACTTATATAAGACAAATTTGAAAGAACAAAGTTTTTTGACTATTCCAAAATAAGGTAAAGTGATTAAGATAATGTGTCCCACATTTTGAAAGAATGCAGAGACAAATTCTTATTGTGTCATATTCAATGCAGCCGCTTCATTAATTAATGATATAAAATTGGTGGAAAATTAGTGAGATTAGTCATACATATGGTAACTGTATACAAAATGCTTTGGAAACTGATTTTCCTTCTCATTTTAAGCTTGACTTAAACAAACAATTAGTGCAATTCACTTAAATGGTACAGTTAATCACTCCATGGAATGAAAAAGCAAATAAACTGACTTAGATGTTAGAGGAATGAAACCAAAGTGTTTTTTTTTTTAATTTGCTTTTGTTGCTGTGTATTTTTAATACATTTTATTGGAAAGCTTTTTAATTTTTTTATTGAATTTATTGGGGTGATATTGGTTAATAAAAGTTATATAATTATTGCAAAGTTTGAACTTTGGAAGTAATTTGAAAGATCCAACTAATGCATAACCCATAGACACAGACAACGATGTGGTGTTGGCCAGAGGGAAGGAGGGATGAGGGCTGGGTGGAGGTGGGCAAGAGGTAGGGGGATGAGGACATCTGTAATAGTGTCAACAATGAAAATGAAGTTAAAAAATATCCAACTAGTAATTTTAAATATGCATATGTATGATGTCTCTTTATTGGTTAAGGGAATAATAAGTAGTAAACTAATAATTAAAGCTATATTTCCACAAGGATATTAAGCAATTACCTGGATCATTCAAGCAAATTTTTCTTTCTCAAATTAAGTGAAAATTATCTGGAAATTTCAGGATCATTTACTTGAAGCACAAACTATTTAGCTAATCTTCTCTGGGACATTTGGTTTTACAGAGGGAAAACATAAGTGTGAGCTAGCATATTTTCTCTGCATATTTCACTAAGTAAAAATATCAAAATATCTTACACTTGCAACTCGTCTCAATTCTTCCTCATGTTGATTAAAGATATCTTCCCATCTGCGTTGGCGCCTTCGCCTGTAGGCTTGTAAATCTAAAAGCTCAAACTCTTCTGGTCTCCGTGATAACTTTGCCCGGAACTTCTTTGGTGATAATCTTTTTGCCAGTGCTTGCCTTAGACTAGAAACCTTTGATTTTTTCTTCTTCTGTGCCTGTTCTGGTTGAGAATAAAATATGTTTGATGACAGGTTTTCCATCAGGGTTTGCAGTGGACCAAGTGGCTTTGAGTTATGTGAGTTTGGTGCTCGAAGTAAGTTTCTTGATAGTCCCTCTATCAGTGCTTGAACTGAGCCAATGTCCTTTGGGGGCTCTAGTGCCCAGGCCTGTGCCTGAGGTGACTCTTTGGTTTGTCCCTCTACTGGAATAAGCACCTGAGTATCCAAATGTAGTGGAAACAGCACGTGGTGGTTCTGTGACAGTAGAGGCAAGAACACCTGGGCTTGTACATGTAATGACTCTAGTTCCTCTGCCTCAGTCTCTGCCTGTGTAGGCTCAGCAGCCTGTTCCTGTAACTCTGGCTGTTCAGGTACTTGATTCTGCTCCAGCTGCTGTTCAGGTAACTGGTTCTGCCCTTGCTGTTGTCCAGGGGCTTGAACTTGCCCTTGTTGTTGTTCAGGTACCTGATTTTGCCCCTGAAATTCCTCTGGTACCCGGTCCAGATCCTGTGGATTTTCTGATTCCTGGGGCTGAGCCTGATCTTTCTGGTCTCTGGGTACCTGGGCATGTAGACGTAGAGACCTAGGTGCCTTAACCTGAGCCTGTAGTGGCATGAGCATCCAGGCTGCCCTCCGTAGTCGTGGAGGTGCTTTAATCTGCATCTGTAGGGGCCTAGATGTTTTAGCCTTAATCTGAGCCTGTAGTGGCATGAACACCTGAGCTGCCCCTTGTAGTCTCTGAGATGGCTGGGCTTGCCCCTGTAGAGATCTAGGTGCATTGTTCTGAGCCTGTAGTGGCTTGAACATCTTGGCTGCTCCCTGTGGATGCTGGAGTGCCTGGACCTGTGGCTCTTCTCGGTCAGGTAACCACCTTGGCTGAGAGGGTTCTCCATGCAGGACTCTAAGTGGTCTGCATCTACTGCTGGTTGGCAGTCTCAGAAGTTCATGGGTACAACAATGTCCTCTAGAAATAAAAATACAAGCATTTGCCATACAATGAGAATTGTCAGTGGAGAGAAGCCATTCAAGGGAAATGATTTTATTTTAAAAGATAAATATTTTCTGAACCAAAGATGGTTTTAATAAATCTTTCTTGAATTATTCCTGTAATGTCTAAATTATTATTTGTATTACTAATATACTTGATCATCCTATTGTCAGATATTAAGGAATCTTTTAATGGTAATCAAACATTTTCTTCAACATTTTCACATAAATATCTCTTGAAAATATAGATTTGTTTTTTGTTGTATGAGAAAAGATTAAGTTTTTCTGAGTCAAATACAACAGTATGAAAATCAACTGTCTCAAGTGAATTACTAACATCAAATTCTATATGTAACTTGTCTAACGCACCTGAATTTTCGTGTGGTGTACTGCTCCTTAATATCTTCTTCTCTTTCAAAGATCAGAGGTATTCCTTTTTATTAAAGAAAAATAATGCATAATAATCAGCAGAGATTAATGTAATCCAGCTTATCCAACTTTCACCCTTTATTGCTCAGGATGCTGAGTGAATTTAAAAGGACAACAAGAAGGTAACCCTTCAAATCACATCTGGTTGGTGATATAGACAATATCCAGGTTCTTGGGTCCACTTTTATAGCACAGTGAAGCTGTTCCATACAGACTAATTTCTATGGTCATAGAAAGAAAATTTAGCAATCTGCTACAATTTGAAAGAGAAAGAGTTGAGAAAGGCAAAGGGAGAAAAGAACAAGAGAAACTCTAGATGATTGGTGAACATGGCTTATAGGTGTGTGCTCTAGATTTAAGGACTTTATAACTTGGACCCACACCTATCTTTGTTCCTTTCAAAGAAGATTGAAAATGAAGATAAAGATTTTAGGTCCTTTCAAGGAAAAGTTTAAAAATCTAAATTCTGGGTTTCATACTTAATGCATTGAAAAGTTCAGCTTCTTTCCTGTCAGCTGTGCTGAACTGAAATATAGACCCAAACAAAATATGTGTTTTTAAGCTATGTTAAAGTGTTTAGGGCAACTATATTTATATCTTCCATATAATCTTCATATGAATGTGACTTTTTCTGTAGTTAACAATATGGAAAACTTGAAACTATGAATTTAGCAAATCAAGTAGATGTGTGGTCTTCATGCACCCATTTGAGACTGGCTGGATTTTGTGATGCTCATCCAATGAATTCTCCACCATGGCTAAATAAATTAACTCTTGCTGCTTCTCGCTCCAAAATAGCATATAGTTATACTAGAGGCCCGGTGCACAAATTTGTGCACCAGTAGGGTTCCTTGGCCTGGCCTATGGGATTGGGCTGAAACTGGCTCTCTGACATCCACCGAGGGGTCCTGGATTGTGAGATGGTGCAGGCCAGGCTAAGGGACCCCATTGGTGCATGATCAGGGCCTGGGAGGGACGTGGGAGGTTGGCCAGCCAGGGAGGGACCATGGGAGGGCTCCAGGGCATGTCCAGCCCATATCACTCAGTCCCGATCGGCTGGACCCCAGTAGCAAGCTAACCTACTGGTCAGAGTGTCTGCCCCCTGTGGTCAGTGCATGTCATAGTGAGTAGTTGAGCAGCCTTAGCTTATCATTAGCATATTACGCTTTGATTGGTTGAACAGAGGACCAGATGACCAGACACTTAGCATATTAGGCTTTTATTATATAGGGTAGATGAAAGAAGTTACATTGAAATAAATCTGAAGCTAATTTGAAAATGTGTGCTATATTTTTCAGGTTCCCCCTTTTCCACTCTATAACCACTCTCAACTTTGTCTATGGTGCCTCAAATTAAGTGTGGAATTTCCCATACAATCTATAAGGTAGAACTTCCTAAGTAGTTTCCTCTTGATTTGATAATAATCCATCCTGCCATTTTTGGTATTAATATATAGAAGCTTACTTTCATTTGTACAAATAGTTCATTTAATTATATTTTATAGTTGGAGATTAGAACACAAAACAAACTTTGTATGGTGCACAGACTTCAAAATTAAAAGTCAATAAATGGTTAATTACAAAGCCATTTATCTCATTGGAGTTAATTAAAATGTCAGCCAAAGAATCCAATTATTATATAGCTTTCTATTTCCTTTATTTCTTTAGTTAGGAGTAAAAAAATAAAATTGGCACATCCCAAAATTCTTCCTGAGGCTTTCAAGGTTTGTAAATACGAACACTTTGCCAGTTGTAACAGCCAGAGGTAATGAATTAAGTGCACATGGCACATTAGTAGAAAAACTAAGTACTGAGGGCCTCAGAATTTTTACTTTCAACTTAATTTTCAAAAAAAGAGATTTTTCCTGAAAAAAAAAGAATAAGTTCCGCTTTCATCTAAATAGTCATTCCAGTGAAATGAAAGATCATACATTCTACCTTTTTTCTGTCTCTTTTTAATGATTCCAGTAAGATGTTTCTTCAGTGACTCAACAACATGTCCTTCATGTTTTATATTCTGAACAAATGGATGATGAAGCATATTAGCAGAAGTGGGACGAAATAGGAAATTTTTTATCGTGCATTTTTCCATGAAATTGTGGAACTTGCGAGACCTAAAATACATGAGTCAAAGAGATAAAAGGACATTCTCAGGCCTGCCACACCCATCCACATGCCCACCCACATGCCACTATGAAATTCATATTTGTGGAAACTGTTACCTATCACTATAATTGTCTTTTTAATTGCTAAATATCCTTCAGCTTGACAATATACATTATACAGCAATGCCATTCAAACCTCAGAAGAGATCAGTTTTTGGCATTTTCTACCCAAATAATAGAAACTTCAGTGAGTTCAGAAGTGTGTACATGGTAAAAAGTCAAGTAGTAGAATAGCGTTTAAGTGGTTAATGTAATAAATGTAAACCATGAGACTAAATTTGTCACCCCACAGCAGTCACACTTTGAAATCTGAATGCTTCACTTGACTATATGGAACTACAGAGGTTTAGATATAATGATCCTCCAAAACAGGGGTTATTGAGACTAACTTTATAAAATGATCCATGAAATCAGTTGTGCCCAGAAAACCTGTATCTGTGGGAATGGTTAAACAGAATCACAATAAAAAATGTTAGTGATCAAATCACAGTCACCACTTCTACCAGGGCAAGCAAGAATGTCAAGTACTAGATCAAAAAGCTTCATTGAAAAGGACTCCCAAGTTTAGTTGGCTTGTAGCACCCTGGGAGAACAAGTTTTCTTTTCTAGGTCTGAGGGTGTTTAGCTTAATGAATGGGCCAATCACTGACTACCTATCTAAGCACAGTGAGAAAAGTTACAAATGATTTCCATAGGTACATCCCATTACTGGAGAAACAAAGGAATATGCCATTAATGCCAGTACTATAATGCCATCATAATATATTCTGGATGGTATTACTTATTTCTAGTTGGTTAGCTACTTTTTAAAGCAAACTAGTCATTTAGACACCACACTTAAGGTATTGAATTTTAAGAAATATTGTTGAACAAAGATGTTGAAGCAGGACTGACCAAATGAATTAACACTTCTCTGCTAAATAAAAAAAATATCAAATTAATGTATTTGGGAGATTGGGTCATTCATGTTTACCATCCACTGGATTTGACTTTGGGAGCAGATTCCCGCAAAATTACAAAGAGGGCTTCCAAGGGCTGAAGGTTACACAGCGCTGCAAAGGAAAATAGATAAGTTTAGAATGATGGACTGAGAAAAAAAAGAACAAAGTTAGAGGTATCATGCTACCTGACTTCAAATTATACTAAAAAACTACGATAATCAAAACAGCATGGTATTGGCAGAGAACAGACACACAGATCAATGGAACAGAATAGAGAGCCAGCTATAAAACCACGTGTATATGGACAGATAATTTTTGACAAAGGAGCCAGAAATGTATATTGGAGTGAAGATAGTCTCTTCAATAAATGGTGCAGGGAAAACTGGAAAGCCACATGCAATTGAATGAAACTGGATTACAGTTTGTCCCATGTACAAAAATTAATTCAAAATGGATCAAAAACCTAAATATATAAGACCCCAAACAATAAGATACATAGAAGAAAATATGGATACCAACTTATGGACCTGGGTCGTAGAGAACTTTTTATAAGCTTGAACCTAAAGGTAGGGGAAGTAAAGGCAAAAATAAATGAATGAAACTATATCAAACTAAAAAGCTTCTGCACGGCAAATGAAACTGACAACAAAACAAAGAGGCAGTCAACTAAATGGGAGATGCTATTTGTAAACAATAGCTCCTCCAACAAAGGTTTAATTTCCAAAATATATAAAGAACTCATAAAACTCAAGACCAAACAAGCAAATAATTTAATCTAAAAGTGGGCAGAGGACCTGAAAAGTTAGCTCTCCCAAGAAGACATATGAACAGCCAATAGAAGATGTTCAACCTCACTGGCCATAAGGAAATGCAAATAAAAACTACAATGAGATGCCACCTTATATCTGTTAGCGTGGCCATTATCAACAAGACAAGCACTAACAAGTGTTGGAGAGGTTGTGGAAAAGGGGGAACCCTCATTCACTGCTGGTGGAAATGTAGACTAGTATAACCACTTTGGAAAGCAGTCTGGCAATTCCTCAAAAAATTAAGAATAGAGTTACCATATGACCCAGCAATCCCACTCCTGAGTATATATCCGAAAAACTCAAAATCATGTATTCACAAAGATATATGCACCCCTATGTTCATTGCAAGATTATTCACTGGGTAGAGACATGGAAACAATCTAAGTATCCCGTGAGAGAGGATTGGATAAAGAAGGATAAAGAGAGGATTGGTACATATACACAGTGGAGTTCTATGCAGTTATAAGATAGGATGAAATACTGCCATTTGCAACAACATGGATGGACCTTGAGAACATTTCGCTAAATAAAATGTCATTCAGAAAAGCTAAGAACCATATGATTTCACTCATATGTGGGTTATAAAATGAAACTCATGAACACAAATAGCAGTGGGGTAGTTGCCAGAGGGAAGCGGGTGGAGGGAATGGGTCCTAATATAAGGTGACAGGAGAAGATTTGACTTTGTGTTATAAAGATCTTATAACATAGAAAGCCACACCTGAAACCTATATGTTCATGTTGACCAATGTCACCCTAATCAATTAATAAATAAAATAAAAATAGAATGAATGAGAAAGGTAACTACAGAGCACACTCCTCATTCCAGAAGGAATTCTAAGCAAATGAAGTTCATGAAAAGCTCACTTTAACACAAACAGTCCTTTATATAAGACCCTAAAGGTTCATTATTGACAGTTGTGACAAATTAATAATAAATTACACTAGATAATATGTTTGAAATATGTTATTGATAACATATCTTTAGAAGGAAACCAAAAGTGGAGGAGACAAAGCACTCTTTTGTGTTTTTGTACTGTAACTATCTAGAGTTATAAAATTGGAATATGTAATTATAAATTGAAAAAGTCAAACAGACTAGTAGTTAAGCAAAATAATGTATAAAGATGATTGATTAGTCTAAAAAGATGAGAAGACTATGTTTGGAAGTTGACAGTTCTATGAAAAGAGGTAGATCTAGTATAATTAACTAGTAAGAACACACTTTCTAGAGTAAGATGGCCTGGGTTCAATTCATAGCTCAGCCTTTATGATCTTGGGAAAATTACTTAACCTATCTGTGCCTCATTTTTTATTGGAAAAACAGGAAATATATAAAGAATCCCTTCAGGGAGTTGCTGTGAGGATTAAATGGCAACCTACAAGCATAAGTGTCTAGCACAGATTAGGCACTTAATAAATATAAGCTATTGATATTATCATAAAGATTTTAACTATCTGGCAACTCGAGTTGGTGCCAAATTATTGGACTTTCATTCCCTATTTCAGACACACAGCCCTACAAAGAAAAGCCTATTCCAATATGTGCTATACAAATTCATTACCTCATTGGTTTGAGAATTCTGCACTTTCCTATAAGTGTTTAAATATGTGTTTCACTTCACTTATTTCCTCTTATGTTTTGATTAAAGAAAACTGGCAATGTAAAAAATTCCCAAAGGAGAACCATAGTGTAAATTTCACCTAACACTTCAAGTGTGTCATTAATGTTAGGACAATTTGATATTAATGCCACTTTAAAGTCATCCTTCCTCTTCCAAAATACATCTCCAGGAAAATTACAATGTCAAACTGGTCTCTCATAACAGTAGAAAAATAAACCTCCTGGAGCAATTTCATTAGAGTGATATAAAGGCAATTGTTCAAAGGTCATTCTTTGTTTCAATTACATGGGCATAAATTAATAGAAAGTGCAGGTTTCTAATTGAGGGCAGAATGAGATCCAAGCTCAAAAGATCAGGGTCATATTTGACTGTCTTCATTCCTTTACTGTGTCCAATCAGTCATCAGATTCTGTCCTTTAAACACATCGCAAATGAGTTTGTACAATATCGAGCAGTTGCCATTTATTAAAAGCTGAGCATCATTCAGTCAACTAACAATATCTTTAGGAGTCAAGAGTTAGGGCATACACTTGGTAGGTTTTCATTAAGGGAAAGGAGAAGTCCACAAAGGAATAGAGTATAGGGTGGTTAAAAAAGCCATATCAAACAGCAATTGTGGAAGTTTCCTATATGGTCTAATTTTAGGAATGCTAATAAATGCCCCTTCACACCATATCACTTAACAGTGCCTATATTTCACCATTACATGAATATTCATTTGAAATAGCAAACCTCCTTTAAAAATACATCTATTCAGAACTCACAGGAGTCTGCGCCCTGGGTGGCTGGAGACTACCAATGTTATCACCAATAAGGGTTTAATCTCCAAAGTTTACAGGGAAGTGATACAACTTAACAAAAGGAAGATAAACAACCCAATCAAAAAATGGGCAATGGACCTAAATAGATACTTTCCGAAAGAAGATAGACAGAAGGCCAAGAGACATATGAAAACATGCTCAAAGTCACTAATCATCCGAGAGATGCAAATCAAAATGACAGTGAGGTACCATCTCACACCTGTCAGAATGGCTATCATCAGCAAATCGACAAACGACAAGTGCTGGAGAGGATGCGAAGAAAAAGGAACCCTCGTGCACTGCTGGTGGGAATGCAGACTGGTGCAGCCACTGTGGAGAACAGTATGGAGTTTCCTCAAAAAACTAAAAATGGAACTCCCATTTGACCCAGTGATCCCACTTCTAGGAATATATTCCAAGAAACTAGAAAGACTAATTAGAAAGAATATGTGCACCCCTATGTTCATAGAAGCACAACTCACCATAGCTAAGATTTGGAAACAGCCTAAGTGCCCATCAGTAGATGAATGGATTAGAAAACTGTGGTACATCTACACGATGGAATACTATGCTGCTGTAAAAAAGAAGGAACTCTTACCATTTGCAACAGCATGGATGGAGCTGGAGAGCATTATGCTAAGTGAAACAAGCCAGTCAATGAAGGAAAAATACCACATGATCTCACTCATTCATGGATAATAAAGACCATTACAAACTTTTGAACAATAATAGATACAGAGGCAGAGCTGCCTCAAACTGATTGTCAAACTGCAGTGGGAAGGCCAGAGAGGGTTGGGGGGCAGAAGGGAGGGGAGTAAGATGCATGCATATAAGCCTAACCAATGGACATAGACAATAGGGGGGTGAGGGCATGAGTGGGGGGATGGGAGGTAATGGGGGGGATAAGGACACATATGTAATAGCTTAATCAATAAAGAAATTAAAAAATACATCTATTGATGGGTTGTAAACATTTAACTGGGAGCAATCTGAATTGATTTGATAAGGTTGAGATCTGAAGAAAACTTTTGAATACTTAAGAAATGGGTATCTTAATGGGACAATATTAAATTCGAGTCACGAGACAATAATGTAAACATTGATCTGTGTGTAAAGCAGGGACACTACAAGAAACAGAAGTAGGACACTAAACAAACATGGATGACAGTATTAAAAATAATCTCTACAACAGCAAGGGGAATGCTAATATAGAGAAATGTATAATTTAGATTAAGGTAAATTGGCTGTTGTAGATCCTTGACAAGGAAGGAGAGTTGCAATAAACTGTCAACCTGATTCTACCTCTTCACTAGGCAATCATTTTTTTTTCAAATAATAGCAAAGAAACTAAGAACTGCATCTATTCAACATTGGCCTATGATATTCTGATGTTTGAACAACTATTAGCAATATTCTGGCCTTGGTTTGAAAGCCTTCACATCTTCACATTGTTTGAATTCTTACCCAGAACTCAAGGACTTAAGAAGGTCTGGGTGAACGGTGGTCCTATCTTCTCTCCTCTGAGAGTCCCTATAACACATTTTCAATAAGAAGTTATTCTTCCTGTCTCTATACTTCTCTGGGAGAGACTCACCAAAGAAAGAAAGGAATTTTGTTATTTAGACCTCAGAGATAATTATCACAGAATTGTTGCTTCGGAAGGTCATTCTCTCTGAGATGATAACTATAACCTGAAGGATTTCTGCTCTCTTAAATTGATAAAGATAATTTCCATACAAAGCTAATACTTCAAGCAATACAGAAGGCTGGTGAAAAACAATTTTTTAGCATTGTGGCTATTTCAAGTTACTCATGACCAAAAGTCACACCATTCCAATTACTTATCCAGGAATGCTGATCCTCTTTTCTTTTTTAAAAAACTTTATTGTTGAAAGTATTACATATGTCCTCCTTTTTTCTCCCATTGACCCCTTATAGGCCACCCCCAGCCCCAGGCCTCCACCACCCTATCGTCTGTGTCCATTGAGATTTAAAATCTTTTCTCATTGAGAGTTAAGAATCTTTTGGTCCTCATTTGTCTTTTACAAGAAGTTTGCCATTTGTATACTCTGTGCAAAACTTCTTCTCTACACTCCTTATGTGAGTTTGCTCATTACCCCTTTCTCCTATAATTTTATACTTTAGAATAAAAACTGAAACACAAAAGGTGAACTAAAAAGCACAAATATATAAAACGCAGAAAGCTGGATTTTTGAAAAGATGTGGTGAGGAACACTCGGAAACAACAGAAAAAATATACTACTTGATGCAGTCATCAATCCTAACCAAATACATGCATCAATACTCATATGAAATATCATATTGTGTATTGAGAGAAAGAGAGAGGGGGAGGGAGAGAGAGAGAGAGAGAGAGAGAGAGAGAGAGAGAGAGAGAGATCATTTAAGCATGTTTCTTTTACAGAAAAAGAATTGAATGATGATGGACAGTAATATGTATTTTCCCAGTCTAATTTCAATTTTATATATGTAGCATATATAGTTTTCTCCATAATTTATTTTTTACTCACCCAACATAGATACTTTGTAGTTTTTTGGACACTAGAGGAAAGGCATCAGAAACCTGATCTCCCCATTTATCCCAGTTTTAATCCAAGCCCCCACTGTGATATTCAGAGGGACACTAGCAATTCTTAAAAATGATATTATGACTATTGCGCCTCCTTGAACTTGCTCCCATTGGCCTTGAAATACATTAACAAGATAGTCCAAGCTTATAAAGCTTGGTGTGTGGACATTGTGGAGAGGGAGCATGCAGGAACATAGGAATCTATAGGATCTGCTTGGAGAGTCAGAAGCAAAGCAATCCCGTCCCCCCACCCCACCTCTGAAACATACTCCAGGCATTTCTCTCACTTCTCATCCAACAATACCAGGAATGTATTTATCATTTACATTTTCGGGTTTAGGTAATTAGGACAGAAAATATGCTCTGCTTATGGGGCCATACATTAGATGGTTGTCAATAATGTATATCTAAATTTACATGCCATTTTCACCTTCCTACCAGAAATCAGTGTTCTGAAACAGGATGCTGATAGGTCATTTAAATGATGGGAAGGAAAGGGAACAAAAGGAAATGGAACTTCTGAGATCTTAAGGGTAACAGAATGGCTAAAAGGAGCAAGGAAGGTACAAAAGGTAAGCTGGACTGACTCCAAAGTGGGGGGGGGGAGCTTACTTTCCAACATTATTGAGTATTGGCTCAATTTCAACCAACCACTGGAAGATTTTCTCAACTGTCACTGTCTGAAGTAATAACAGTATGTGACTGTAATTGTTTTGGAACCTAAATACAGTGGGGCCTTGACTTACAAGTTTAATTCGTTCCATGACAGAGCTCGTAACTCAAATTACTCGTATGTCAAATCAATTGTGAACGAGTGAGACACGTGATGCTGGGCTGATGTTGTGGCGTTCACTGTGACGATCGCTGCGCCAACTAGCAGTGGGGTATCTGAAGCTGGCTTGTAACCCGAATTTTAGCTCGCAACTCAAAGCAAAAAATTGGCCGAGAGATGGCTCGTATCTCGAAAAACTCGTTAGTCGGGGCACTCGTAAGTCAAGGCCCCACTGTATTCCATCAGTCAATATTTATTGAAATGCCCTTATTTCAGGTGGGTCAGGATTGCCAGGACCAAATACTATTGTGACTAAATTGAAATAATACTCAATCAGCCCAAAATGTGATACATAAAAGAGAAAAGGAAAATCTCTTTTTATAGACATATCTGGCCATTTTGACTAGAACATTCAGTAATCACTGAAAAGGCTACCATTTATAGTTAGGCATTTAATGTGGCACCTGGTGGCCAGTATAAGCTTACTGGTACATTCTCAAAGTGGCAGATTTGAACAATATGTTTTCCTAACTTTTAACAAATATCAAGTATTTTTACTCACGAGGAGCCCCTTCAGCCATTTCAATAGCAGTGATTCCCACGGACCACACATCACTCTGCAAAGGAAAAGATGACCCCAAAAAGTCAGTTAAAAATAAGAAACAGTATTTAGAATCTCAAAATACTCTTTGGCTGAGGGAGTGGTAGTGGTGGTGTCAATGCCAGAGCCATTTTATGGATTTCCTATAGACTGTTGTTACAGAGAGACGTTATGTGAGCTTGTGATCAGTTAGTATTGTTCTACACAACAGTTGACATTGGATGGGCTTAAGTAAGTATAAGAACCATGATTGATATGTTGCTATTATTACCTTAACTGAAATAGCAAAAGGAATTTGTTGTAAAGAAATCCTATCACGTAAACCTACTTACTAAATGTGCAATCTTAGGTAAACTATTTAACTCTCTGTGGCTCAATTTTATAAAAT